AGTAAGGCTTTGACTGTAGGTGTGTCGCGTAATCTTTCAGTGCCCCCAGATGACTCAACTCTAATTTATAGATTGGTTGCTGATCTGATTCTGCAGAGGGAGTTCCCACATGAAGAGTTCTCCATGTTGAAGAAATCATGGGTCTGGAATCTCCTACTTCTAAAGCACTCTCATAATCATTGATGGGCATGACACTTTGCACACACACTGGAACTCCAATATCACAGTCATGGTTGTGTCTGTTCTCTAATTTCTGTCACTTTATGAAAACCCTAAAACCCCCTGTAAAACTTAAACTGGTTAAAATGATACAAATTCAAATACTCTAGAAATTCTGTAAATTTAAAAATGGTTACAATGGTATAAGATGACTTTTTTTTTCTAAAAAGAAATAGCTCACAATTAAGAATTTTAGCCATATTCACTTTTCTGATCAAATGCACTAAGTGCTTTATTTTCTTGGGTGAATATACAACAAAAGTTCCTTTGGTCCTAGAGTTTGAAGGTTATCATTGGAATATATATGTACATATAGATGTAAATATACATACAGTGGTTTTATATATGTACACATATAAGTTTTATATGTGTACATATATAAATGTATATACATATGTATCTCTATATAAAACCAATCTAGAATTATTAATTTAAAGTTTTTGCACCAAACTATGAAGGTCATTTCAAGAGAAACTAGCTGACATCCATTGGCCTTGAGTGAAGAGATCTTAGTTCTATTCTTAACTCTTCCACTGAATTGTGACTCGTGACTTCTTTGAGCAATTTATAGGAGAACTGTTTTTTCTCTATCTTATTGAGATGTGAGAAATGATAATATTTTGCCTTATAATCACTTAGGGCTCCCAAAGGGAAGGGAAACTATAAAAACAAGTTATCCTTGATTAAACATTGTGAGTATTGCTATGTCTGCATGAGTAAAGTGAAAGGCAGAATTTAGCATCTATTTAGTAAAACTGATGAATATAAGCACACCTTCTGAATAATTCATGCTATGGTCTTCCCCAACCCCTGGCCACTGTAGCCCAAATTTACAAATAAAAATTATTTAGGTGATTTCTATAATCCTCTATTTCTTTTAGCCTGCATAGATATTGATTAACTATAGGCTCAGTCACACTCTTGGACAAGAAATCATAGAATCTCAGAATCCTGTTATTGGAGGAGGTCTCAGAAGTCATCTTGTCCAACTTGGACCTATCTCCTCTACTGCATATGTGACAAATAGTCATCCAGCATTTGCTTGAAAATATCTAATAATGTGGCAGCTAGGCAGTACAGTGGGATTGTACACTGTACACTGGCCCTGGAGTCAGGAGGACCTGAGTTCAAATCTAGCCTCAGATATTTACTATTTTTGTGACCCTGGGCATTTATATAGCTATGGAAGCCAACTATGTACTGATTTAAAATGCCCTCAATCTGATCGTCTGGTAGGCAATAAGTTCCACGTTCTTAAAATTTTCTTGTAATATTGCCCCTCCCCCGCAAAGAAAATATCTAATAATAGGAAACCCATTACCTCTGAACTCATTCAATATGGAGATGACTCTAATTATTATTTTGTTCTAGACAAAAAGAGTAGTATACACTTTATTGGGAGGAGACAAGCATTCTTTCTGAAAATTCATTTCATTGGGAGGCATTCAAACCTAGCTAATTACTGATAAGACTCTGAGAAAATCACTTTGGACTTCAGTTTCATCATCTATCAAATGAAGGAAACTGGACTAGATGATATTTAAATTCCTTTCTATCTTTAAATCTGTGATTCTTTAAGAATTTCATAAACATGCAAGGCCTATTAGAAACCAATAATAATAAAAATTATAATAAATATAAAATAAAAATTATAATAAAAATGTGTGGTAAGAAATTAAATGAAATCACAGGCTTTTAGGACTGAAAGAGAAGTTACAGAACATTCAGTCCAATCCCTCCATTTTGTAGATGAGAAAACAGATGCACCAAAAGATGAAATAAATTATCCAAGACTCTGCAGCTAACAAGTGACAGATAATTGGATTTAGATGTAGGTCTTCTATGTCCAAACCAAGTGCTCTTCCTGCTACACTGTGCTGCCTCCCAATGGAAGCCAACTCAACAAAAATGGCCCATTTTACTGATTCATTCTAAATTTTTGCAATGTGGTCCTTTAGGAATGACCATCCACTAATTTATGAATCAAGGGAGCAATGGCATTATGACTTGGGCACTAGGTGAGTAAGCTTTGTTTTGACTGGCAGACTTTCTGTATGTACCTTACAGATATTCCTGCCAGACATCATTTTCTAGCAAGGATGAAATATTGGGGTGGGGTTGACTTAGGTCATGGTTTATCCCTGTAATTCGTGCCACTGGGGGAGACTAAGGCCAATGGATCACTTTAGCTCAAGAGAAAAGGCATTTTAATCCTGCAGGGCTTTTTCAAACACCTTGGGTATGAATGAACATATATATACATATATCTATATTTCAAGGATTATACAATTACATTAGTGGGGGAGGCTCCTCCACCAATGCAGATTGCTATTTCATATTGTAGCAGACTGGTGCCAATATGGTGGGCTCCTAGGAGTGGGGGAGGGAGGCACAAAGTTGCTTAAGGTGAGGTGAACTGGTCTAGGTCAAAAGCAGAGCAAGTCAAAGCTTCCTTGCCAATTAATAGTGAGATGAGGCCTGTTTGCTGCATTTCCACTCTGGGGCAGATAGCAAGACTTAAGTCTCAAAAAATAAAAAAAAGGAAGTTTGGTTCAAATGGTGTCTTTAGATCTGGAAACTGCTCTCAATCATGGAAAAAAAAAGTCTGCCAAATCGTCTAGGTCCCATTCCTCGTTTAATGTGGCTTCTTGTATGCTTAGGAAAAAAACAACTAAAACTTTACTTCACACAAGATTCAAGTTCAAACTCAGATTGGGGGAGCTATTTTCAATGAAGCAACTTATTTGTAGCAAGTATATTGTAATGTGATTGTGCATGTGCATGCGATTAAAAAAATCTATAGTCAGATCTAACTTTTAGAAACATAACTGATGGTAGGGTTTGCTGTGGAAGGCTCTGAGTCACCTAGAATACTTGGGAAAGGATTCTCTGTTAAGATCTGTGAGGTCTTAGGGAATATTGCTATAGATTTTCATTAGGCTGCTTCTATCTATATCTCTTCTTATTTCCTGTTGCCATGTGGGCAGACCGTGGCTTTACCAAATAACCGGAAACATCTTCCCCTTGTTTCAGAAATCTTCACTCCATAAGGACAGGAAAGCAGCTTCTGGAAGAACGCCTGAGTCACATTGAGTTAAATAAAAAGTACGGTCTGGATGGAATTTGTTCATTTGTTTAATCCACGTTTCAGTGCTTAGAAGAAAGGAAAGCCATGCTAAGGTTCTTCATGTCCATAGCGCTTTTTTTTTTTATGCATGAATAAATTTACCCACAAATCCTAACTGCCCTTAAAGATACATGTGTTTGAGTCACTCTCTCTCTCTCTCTCTCTCTCTCTCTCTCTCTCTCTCTCGTTTGATTCAGATACTTACTACCAAATCTGAGGGACACAGTTTACTCATGCAAAATAGGGAAGTTTGTTGGGAAATCACTGTACAACCAACAGCAGATGTCTCAATAAGGCAGTTCTGCTTTGTTAAGCAGTCCAATTGGTTCTGACTTCAATCAAAGCTTGAGAAATAAATGAAAAGACCAGTGCTAGGAGGCGGACCTGAGATGTTTCAAAGCTGAACCGCTCAATGATCATTGTACCATGCACAGCATGGAGTTCTATTTGTATGGCCACATGAGGTTCTCATGGGGCCATATTTACGTGGTAGACTCACATCATAAGCCAAGGGCCGGTGGGAGTTGTTATCAAGTGACTATGGATATCAGAAAAACAGGTTGTCCATGGCCCTGAAACAGCAGCAGCAGCAGCAGCTTTGGCTGGCTGCTTTATTTCATCATTTTTCTCAATAAATGACAGAAGGCCAAAGACAAGAGTAACATCTATCAACTTTTTTTGCCCCATTTAAAAAAAAGCTATTTTTTTAAACTCAGAGGATGACCTGTAGAAGAATGTTTCATTATATAAACAATACCTCTTTTTACCCAGATAAAGGCTTAAACTGTCTTTCAGTTTGGGTCTTCAGTCAAGAGTTTTCCAGCTACATGGAATTCAGCCCAAGATGCTCAGGACAGTGGAAGTGATCTGGGAACCTATGGGGAGCTCTTTGTCTACATGAAATTGGTGCTGCTGGGTTGCAAACAAGATATAAGATTTATTTACTATTTTTTGTATTATAAACCACAGCAGAGTAATCACAAAGTTTCATTTTTGTTTTTGTCTTTTTTTGGGGGGGGTGGGTGGGAGTATGATAAATATCTGACCGATTGAAGTTTAAGGAATACTCTCAACCAAACCCACTTGGGAGTGTCCATGCAACATCCCTGGGCAGAGTTGGAAGTTCCCTCCATTTTAGTGAGGGAAGAGAATAGGGGAGGATATCTAAATAGACATTCTTCAAGTGGAGCACCAGATTTCCCCCTTGGCGACGTCAACCCTGACTGAGAGGATTTCTTGGGGATGAATCCCCTCTGTTTGGTGGCATTAGCAGCAGTAGCAGCAGTGGGGGTGGCAGCAGGGAAGTAAGGAGGATGGGAGAGGAGAAGGGAAAGAGAGGAGAGGGGGTGGTGGTGGTGGGGTTGTTTCATGCAGTCACTACCCTTCTCACAGACTGGCCATTTTGCATTCACCCAAACAGTGTTAGACTTTTTGAGAGCTGGGTGGATAACCCAACTTGGAGAGGACAGAATACTTCAACTGAGTTGTTCTTAAAAAACAACCTAGCATTAAATTTTTCAATAGGTGCCATTTTCAAATAAGTATGTTCAAGGAGATACCTGAATATATGTAAAATTATTCTGGGAGAGGGGTGTGTTTTATTTTTTGGGGGGAGGGTGATCAAAGTGGAGAGGCTTGCTAATAACTTTAATTTTCAAGAGATCCCTTCTGAAGCAAAGTCCTCTAAATCATCAATGGAAATGATGTCCAAATTTTGAGCTTCACTAATGTCCTTCTCTAAGCTCCGTGGAACTTCTTCCGTGTGATGATTTGCAGAATTATGTACAGGCTCGGCATACGGCTGAGAACTTGGGTGTTTGGCATCTCTGAAGCTCTGATGCCAGTGGTCAGCTGATTCCCTGGCTTGAGGCTCCTGCCTTAGAAAAGTGGGTGCTGAGAGCTGTGAGGAGGACCTCAGGGGTGTTAAAGAAGTCACTGGTAGAGGGTGGAGTCCAGGATACACCAAGTAAGGAGAATTTAAAATTTCTGAAGAGGGGATTTCAGGGGAGCCAATTTCAGAGGAAGGGATGGATACTTTGACATACTTGCCAGTCTCTGGGTCATAGAATGTCTTGATTCGCACCTGGAGGGGTAGGTCAAACACAAAATACTCTCCAGTGTGAGGGTCCTGGAGGACTTTCTTCTGGGTGGCAGGGTAGGAGGACATAGGGATTACTGACTGAGCCCCACTAGGCCTCCTCCTAATGGACTCAGAGAGTGTGGCCACTGAGCGCCGGTGAACAGGAGGTGGAAGAGAACGGACGGGGGGGAAGTTGGATTGTGGAGTCTCTGCAGGGCTTACAGGCCTTTTCCAAATCACATCTGACCCTTCCATTTGAGGGCTTTCCTCTTGGATTTCAGACAATTTTTCATGCTGCAGGTTCATCTTTTTCCTTCTGTTTGCCAATTTCTTTGCTCGTCTTAGGGCTTTTTCAGTTTTCGGTGGGACAGCTGGTGGTTTGTTCATTGACTTTTCCATGTGAGCGATGGACTGTGGTCTCTCATAGGGAGCTGCCCAGCTGCTGATCTCTTCCAACAAGGTGTCCCGGGTAGACAAAGCCATGATTTCTTCAGCAGATGAATCAAATTGGGGGTTACCTCCTGTACTTGGTACCACAGCATGTGTAATATCTTCCCTTGCTGTTTTGACACCAGCCTTTCTCTCTGATCCTAGACTGGTTATGCTGGAACATGTGCTGGGCAAGGGGCTTGTTATGGCTGAGTTTGGCCAATCTCCCTGTGATATACCTGAATCTAGAGGACCTTGTGGTGCATCATCCAATATGGCGCTGGCTGCAGGGGGATAAGCACTGTTGTCTACTATGGAGCTGGCTATAGGTGAGTTCATCATCTCACTAGGGGCTATGTTTTTCACCAAAGACCCTTCCCTGGGAGTGGACAATAAGTGGTTTCTAGAATATTGAATTTTCTCTTCTGAACGGGCTCCTCTTAACAGGCTTGCTGGTGGTTGATTCCCAGAGTCTTCATTTGGCAAAATGATGGTGGGTTTGACTCTTAAGGGGATACGTTCCTCTTTATTCTTGTAGCGATTTTCATGATCATCTTCCACAACTTTATTTAATAACTTTTGAGTGGGTCTGACACCGTCACTATCTTTCACGTATGGGAAGAACGGGGGGTTGCTGTCATCTTCTGGAAGAGTGGCTTCTGACATTGGCTGGACATTTTCCATCTTTACTGATCCAAAAACCTGTCCACTATCACTCATGCTCCTGTAGATTTTATTGTAGGCACCAGGTTGACTGCTTGATGATGAGAGCTGGCCAGTTTTTTGAGCATTTGGTATTTCTTGGGATTCTGGCTGGTAGAAGTGAGTGTTCTCTCCATGTTCTCCCAATTGGCTCTCTACTTCTCTCTGGCTATTACTAGGAGTATTTTCTGAGGATGAAGTCCTCAGTAGGGGCAGTATGATGGGTTTGATCACTGGAGATGATTTGAAGGTATTGTCTTTGATTGTAAACATAATGTGCTTGTTTGAATTTGGGGACAGTGATAATGGAGGATCTTTGGTATCAGGAAAAGAAGTGTTCTTACTTTCTCCTAACCAAACATCTCTGCAATGGGCCTCTTCCTTTGACTCAATCATCACTCTATCTCTAGACATGCTTTCACCTTCTCTCTGAGACATTTCTTTCTTGTTACTGTCTTCAACACTAGCAAAGTCATTGCTTAAAGCATAGTATTGCAAATCATCCTTTCTTAGACCTTTTTCTTTCTTCTCAATTTTCTGACTTTCCTCTAGGCTCACACTACTCTTTCTATCTTCCCTTTGGCATTCTGTAAACCATGTTTTCTGCTGATCCTCAAATGAGGCAAAAGATTGGTCTGAAGAACTAGTGCTTATTTTGGCCTTGCTTTTGAGGTTTGGCATGAAATCAGACTGGGTGTCACTATAGAACACATCTTCTTCCTCTGGGGAAAGTGGACCTGGTGAGATTTTCTGGCTGAAATTGGCATTCTGTGATCCTACATCTCTCTCATGGTCAGTCTCTTGGGAAATAGATCTTGGTAATCCGTTTTCAAGGTGGTGAATACTCAGTTTCTCTTCAACTTTTCCATCCACTAGATCTCTTCTGCAAAGCTTCAAGGAGAGGTGAGGTTGACTTTTCCTTAAATTATGTTCATTTGCTTGGTGGTGATACTGCTGAGAGTCCATTTCACTGTTCCTAGGATCTTTGATGTCTAGGTCATCGTTCTTGAAATCATTCTGTTCTGAAGTCTCCCCATTGACATAAAAGGAGGGTTCCTCTAGAGTCTGAGATGAGCTAAGAGTTAGGTAATTATCTGTGAAGTCTCCATTAATATCTCCTTTATGGTCCTTCTCCTTGCTATTGACATAGGGTTGGTGGTTCAATTTGTCTTTGGTTGACATGTATGGGGAAATTTCTTCAGCTCCATTGGACATAAAAGTACCATTGCTTATATTTTCTTGCTTTACATGATCCCTAGCTTTTGTTTTCTCATCATGGCTTTTTAGGAGAGGGGAGGCACTGTAAGTACTCTTGACTCGTTTTCGGACATCTTTGAGATTGAACAACAAACTAGGCACTTTTGACTTATAACTATCTCGAGATTGATATTCATTAAGTCCTTCATGTTCATTTGATCCCACTGACTTTTCTGGGGGAGGGAGTGTTGCCAACTCTGACTGATTTTCTAATGAGTCTAGAACATGCTTTGTTGGTATGACAGGTGTCAAAAGCTTACTGATGTTAAAAGGAGGATCATAGCATTCATTTGAGTTTACTTGTTCTTCTATTACATCATTTTCAGGAAACTCTCCTGTAGGATCTGGCCTTTTGTACAAAGGTAGGACTTTCCCATGGGTCTTCTTTTCATTTGAAGGCTCATGTGTTCTCTCTTTTCCTCCTTTGCTGATTTTTGATCTCCTCCATGGGACTCTTGAAGTCTCTACTTGAACCTTGAGCTCTGAACTGGGAGCCTTCTCCTCCATGGCAAAGTTTTGGGATTCGGGAACTGATTGAACACTAGATACTTGGGATAGAGAGGTGGATGGAGTCCCTGCCACCAGGGCTTTCTCTTCTGGATTCATGGGTACTCTGCTGTGGCTGGGTGATGTTTCATGTCTGCTTGGGTGGAGCTCTCTTAGTGGTGGTGGGTTTTCCTCATAATTTGAGGGAGATTTGACTTCTGGCATTAGTTCATCAGCTTCCTTCCTCTCAAGCAGTTTCTTGTGATGTGCATTCCATGACTCAAAAGCACTGTTTTCACTATGAAGAAAATTCCCTTTGCTTGTCCGTTCATTAGCTTTTCCGGTCTTACCCTTTGCTGTCTTTGTTGGTGGAAGATGGATATTTGATTCAAATGTCTTGGAAGCATCCAATGAGGCTGATTGAAAACTGTCAACACTAGATGTTAAGTCATTAGTGCTTGGTGAATTTGGTGTCCCTTGCCTGCCACCAGGCCAACTGGTATTTTGATATGTGTTGGAAATTTCAGCAGGTACCTTCCTGACAGTTAAAAAAGCTGAATCCATGCAAAAATTCACACCACTTCCTGGTAGAGGTACACATTTTAGAGGGTTTTTTAGAGCAGACTGTTTGCTGGTGGGAGGCAGACTGTCAGAACCTGTATTTTCTGTCCTATCAAAAGATTTAATTAATGAAGATACTTTGGATACAGGTTTACTACTTCTCATACCAGAAACTGGGATTTCCAGTTTTCTCCGTGTGGTGACTGGTGGTGGTGTGTTGCTTTTGGGGGATCTTTCCTCTCCTTGGACATACTTGGGCAACTGTTGGAATGTAGATGCCCAGCCTGCATGCTCATTTCCATGTGCTTGTATCCTATTGCAAAGGTTGCTTTTCTTGATGGTATGGCTGCCTGTTCCCTGTCGAAAGCTACCAAAAAACTGCTGGGCAAAATCTGGTGAAATGACAAGATTGGAGTCATTGAAGGATGTGTCCTCTGAAATGCACAAACTTCTAAAGGCTCGGTCTGTGAGATTGCTGACTTCTCTATCTGCGTCATCCAAGACACTCCCGATGCTTGAAGAGTCACTGAGTCCATCTGTGTACTTCTTACTCCCTTGCATTGTCTGGACAGGCATGAAGAAATGATCCACAAAATCAAATTTTTTTTCCTGTAAAGTTGATTTCTCTTCAATGATGTTTTTTTTACACGATCTTCCTCTAAAATGTGTTCATTTAGTTCACCTTTTTTATCTGTAAAAAAGAATTAGCAGGGGTATGAATATAAATAAATCAGTAATATGAATGAATATAAATAAATCAGTGTAAAAATAAACCAGTAAGAAAATCACAAACCTGTATAGACTACTTATGACAGCTGACATTTATACAAGCACTTTAAGGTTTGCAAAGAGCCTTGAAACCTTTAGCTCATTTGATCCCAACAATGACCCAGTAATTTAGGTAGCATTACCCCCACTTTACATATGAGGAGGAGAAGGATCAGAGAGGTTAAGTTGGAGAAGGAATGTGAAGTAATGGATAGAGTTCTCTGTTAGGGAGTTGGGAAGACTTGGGTTCAAATTCCACCTCTGACACTTAATTGTAGTGTGACCATGGGTAAGTCCCTTAATTTCAATGAGACTTGGTTTCCTCACTGAAAAATGGTGATAATACCTAAAGTGTTTATTTCATGAGGTTGTTGTGAAGGGATTTGATATGTAATAAAGTGCTTTAAAGGGCTATTTTGCAGATATCAGGAACACTGACTGGGAGGTAGGCATCGGGGTAATGGAAGCATAGACCATTATTCTTATTCCTCCTTCATGTCTTCTTTTCTCCAATGGTAAAACCATTTCTCTTTGTCTCCTACTCCCTAACTCTCAGTCTCAAGATGCTTGATCAGTTGGGCTATGAGATGATACCTAGCCCCACCTGGGCTCCACTCTGGGCCTCTCACTCCACATCCACCTTGCAGAGGGGAAAGATGAATCAGTCAGAGCATCCTTGACCAAGCAAGGCATGTCTTCTCAGAAGAATCCCTGGGTCATATAAGATATTTGCTCATATCTTAGTCAACAGAGGCAGTGTGGTGTAGTGATTAGAGAGCTGTCCTCAAAACCAGGAAGACCTGGGTTCAATAATCATTTATGACACATATTGACTTTGTGATTCTGGTCAAATTAGCTAGATGGCACAGGGGATGGAGTGCTGGGCCTGGGGTCAGAAAGACCTGAGACACTTAGTAGCCTCAGACACTTAGTAGCTGTGTGATCCTGGACAAGTCACTTAACTTCCGTCTGCCTTAGTTTACGCAAATGCAGAATGGGCCTAATAAGAACATCTACCTCAAAGGGTTGTTGTGAGGATCAAATGAGAACATTTGTAAATCACTAAGAACACTAAATGCCTGGTACATAGTAGGCGCTTAATAAATTCTTGTTCCCTTCCCTTTCTCTCTATCAGTGCACTGGATAATTCTCTAAGACTTTCAGTTTCAGAGAGGGAATTTCCTTACTTAGAAGTTCCCCACGTTAATGAAATCACAGGTCTAGTCCCTATGCAAATCACACTGAGAACTGCTACAAGAAAATACAAAAAAGAATCTATTATAGTACTTTCATTTGAGATCAGCTTCATTCTCATATACCTCAAGAAACAGATGGATTCTATCTTTGCAGCAGCAGGCTCATAATCTGTCCACAGATATACATGATTAACTGGTCTGAATGGACATAATGTGGTACAGCGAGAATAGAGTTGGATTTGTAATTATAGGACCTGAGTTCAAATCTTGACTTTGCTACTTACTATCAGTGTGACCTTGGGCAAGTGACTAAGCCTCTCTGAGTCTCTGTTTCCTTACTTATAAAGTGCTGAGGTTTGACTAAGTGGCCTTTAAAGATCCTTCCAACTACAACTCCATGACTTGTCAGTTGAGTGAAATAGTTCAATTTATTCAAATAACTAGTTTGTCTAATTTTTCCATTTTCCTCCAAATACATTGACCAGACATTTATTTAATGGATTTGACCTAAAAATGACTCAGTTGTCCTGGTGTTATATAGATCATCTCAATTCCCCTTGTAGTTGAAATCAAAGGCAACTAGTCAAAGGTAAAGTATATTTGGCTTGAGGATTTCAGTTGAAATTACTATCTGTTGCACTTAGTAGAGGTCATATATTTGCCCATGTCCCCAGTGCTATAGACATAATTTTCACCCTTGGTGAAAACATGGACAGTTGTACATGGCATGTGAATGACTAATGCTAAAACTGATGAATCGGTAGTATTCCTCACCCGCATTTTTGTACAGTAATTCTGGGTTCAGAGATTGTACCCTTTGAAAAAGGTTTACAAAGGGTAACTGAGAAGGAGGTGAGGAAGTCCAAGTCAAATCCAGATATAATATACATAACCTCAGTCAATGAGGTCTTCTTTTGCCTGACTAGGATACCATGTTTTGGAACATTATTAAAGGAGCTTTAGGTTTCAAGTGTGCGTGTGTTGTGGGGAGGAGATTGGATTACACAACTTCATTGTTCTATGGTCCTATTGTCTGCAGACATTCTTGCTTTAATTATTTATTGCCTGAAACCTTGGCTTCTGTTTATCTTAATTTGGGGCACATGTCCCTCTGTCCACTGACTATGGCAACACTTAGGATTTCCAAATGGTAACTCCTAGTTAGGACATGAGACTTTCCATTGGAATGAAAGGGAGAGAGAACATATAGCTCTATTACAGATATTTTGCACATGGGGCTCAATACTTTGGATCCAACTATTTCTGTGCTGAATTACACTGATTGAAAAAAAAAACAGGATGATTTGCTTCTTTGTAAGGAAACAAAAGCTATGTATATTCTATCTGCTTAAAGACCACCAAAGGAAATGATAAGGCCAGTCTAGTGTGCTTGAAAGGTTGGTCCACCTATCCATACTGGACAAGTTAAGTAATTCTCGGTGCTAGGCTATGGATATTTGTCAGTGATGTCAATATTGCCAATAACTTAATTAAATAAGGCACAATTTCCTCCAACTCAGAGTACTATTTTAACTTGTCAAAAGCAGGATTACTCAGGTCTAACATTAGAATTCCACTATGAATTTGAACTCCCCAATGAGATGTCATTTAGGCCTATTTAACAATTCCAAAGTGATGAAAGCATCATGAAGAACTGAATCAGTTACCCAAGTATTTCAAGGAAAAAAAATCACTTGCCTCAAGGAGAAAAAAGGAAAAATTTGCTTTTTTCCTTCTTGCCCCACTCCTTTGAGTTATTCCTTAATTTTCTTAGTTCTTCATTCCATTTACTTAGAGAAGATCTAGTGTGGGCTATAAATGATTGTGTCATGAAAGTGACTCCTTCACCTTCCTTTGTAAAGAAACAGTATAGAATAGCCAAATTCTATAGATCCTATTCAGAATAATTGTGGACAATAGAAAAACTATTATCAAAGTGTCCTCAGGAACCTTACCTGTTATGGGTGTGAATACCACAGGAGCATATCTTCGTGGGATTTTCTCTGACCTTCTGTGTATTTAGAATTTCTTGGAGTAATTATATTTTGTTTCATTGCTGTCCATCTATAAAGAGTAAAACAAAATAATTCAAGGAAATTCAACTGACCAGAAAAATATTTTTCCCTATCATGTAGTTGGCCTTCAACATTTTTTTTTATCATAATTGAGCTTTGCCTAATCCCTATCAAAGGCAGAACCCAGACAGATGTCTTTTCCACACTGAGGACCCATTGAAGGACTTAGGTAGGATTAGCTTGGAGAAAAGAAACTGTGAGTAGATGAAAAGAATGAGAAGGAGAGAATGAGACATAATTGTTGTCTTCAAGTCATATGGAAGAGGATTCTTAAAGATACAGAGCTGGAAGGGACCAAAGAGACTGTCTAGTCCAATCCCCTTGTCTTAAAAAAGAGGAAACTGAAGTCCATAGAGGTCAAATGACTTGTACAAGGTCACACAAAGAGTAAACTGTCAAAGGTGGAATTTAAACCCCAGGTTCTTTGACAGTCAAAGTACTTTCCATTGTGCCACACTGGCTCCTTGTTTAGACTGGTATCTAAGAACAGAAATAGGAGCAATGGATAGATTGCCAAGAAACAAATTTAATTGTGATGCAAGGAGAAAAACGTTAACAATTAAGAACTATACCAATGTGAAATGAGCTACTTGGGGAGTAGAAGGTTGGCTCTCAGCAGAAAGAGATCTTTAAGAAAAGACTGGATGTTCATTTGTTGGGGTAGTCTTGTTTGGGGACTGAATGGCCTTTTAGGTCCCTTCCAACTCTGATGTTTTGTGATTCCTGACTTTCTTCATTTATTCACAATACAATAATGATTCCAAAGACAGTTTGAGGCATTTTGAATTCTTAATGCAAACAGAGCATCAAATTAAATCAAAACAATCTCCAATTATTTTAGTGAGCAAAATCTGACCCAAGGCAGTTTTCCCATGTGCATAAACAGTGAAGCTTCTTTTCCAGTTAAAGTTAAGGAAAGTCAGTGCAGCCAAAGCTGAGTCTACTTACAAAGAAATAGTACAGTATTTAATTTATTGTTGGTGGGAGAATCTAGTAACCACTCTGACAGTAAAGGGACCAAAACACTGCCCAGGAGACTTTCAAAAATGTTCAGAATGAAGTGTAAACTAATTAAAATAAACCCACTATGCAAATTTTAAACATAAACTGTCAAGGGAATGGATAGATGTCCAAGGCTTTTTGTGGATGGAAGTTACTGGGTAAGAATCTAGACCAAGTTGGTTTATTGATAATATGAATAATTCTAATAGCTTACATTTGTGGAGCATGTTCCTGCAGAGAATCACAGAGCTTTTTAACTCACTACTATATCTGTACCTATAATCACACAATTAGGTAGCCAAGGGATTATTTTTGCCACCTCAACTTTTCTGGCATAAACTGAGGCACACAACAAGTGTATTGTAAGATGATAACAGATTTCATTGGAGAAATAAAAAAAAATATAACCAAGGTACCTTTCACTATCTCTAACATAAGAGTTGAAAGAAGTTCATTTATTGAAGACATATTGATTATCTCTCAATCAATGAGGAAGCACTTATTAAGCACCTACTCTGTGCTAGTCACCTACTCA